ACACAAATGGCGACAGCGGGGCCACGAAGGGCATGCACATGGGGCCACAACGGGCGCGATTCCTGGGTGCCTGGGTGTCGAGAGCGCGGCGCTTGTGCAAATTGCAAGATATTCCAACGCAAGGCCATTCTTCAGTAAGTTGCAAGCAAATCTCCAGCGAGAGCGCGACTCCAGAGCGCTGGGAGAACGATTACTGAAAAAATTGTAAGGAAGTCCCAAGCGAGAGCGCGATTCCTGAATGAAATGCGAGGAAATCTCGGGCGGGAGCGGGGGTCCTGGCTAAATTGTAAGGAAGTCTCAGGCGGGAGCCGTTGTTGTTGTAACCCGGGGGCCAGGGGCTCAGTTTGAGCATCAATATTTTCCCTGTCGAAAAACAGGGTGCGAGCGTCGAGGGGCGCACTTCGATTGAGAAAAAAAAGTATGCACCGGTGGGGGGGATCAGCAATAATTATTCTTCAGAAATGAGAATTCAACAACAACAACAACAACAACAACAACAACAACAACAACAACAACAACAACAACAACAACAACAACAACAACAACAACAACAACAGCAATAATGTTAAGACTGTTCGCCCTTATATGCTCCAGTGTCCAATTACGCTGCCGAGAAACCCCACATACTTATATTATGGCTGGAGTGATGATAGCTGAAGTGAAGCATGTAAGAATGATGTTGGTGGCCGTTGCCACCCCCTGTGCACCCCCTATTTTGTCCAGAAAATGCCACGCCTGCTATGCCCTGGACGACCGTCGTGCATAGCGGCCGCGGTGAGGGACCACCCCCTGCGCACCCCCTATGGTGTCGAGAAAGTGCCACACCTGCTATGCCCTGGACGACCGTCGTGCATAGCGGCCGCGGTGAGGGACCAACCCCTGCGCACCCCCTATGGCGTCGAGAAAGTGCCACACCTGCTATGCCCTGGACGACCGTCTCGAATAGCGGCCGCGCTCGGGGACCACCCCCTGCGCAACCCCTATGGAATCGAGAAAGCGCCACGCCTACTATGCCCTGGACGACCGTCTCGGATAGCGGCCGCGCTCAGGGACCACCCCCTGCGCACCCCCTATGGAATCGAGAAAGTGCCACGCCTACTATACCATGGACGACCGTCTCGGATAGCGGCCGCGCTCAGGGACCACCCCCTGCGCACCCCCTATGGTGTCGAGAAAGTGCCACGCCTGCTATGCCCTGGACGACCGTCTAGGATAGCGGCCGCGCTCAGGGACCACCCCCTGCGCACCCCCTAAGTGTCGAGAAAGTGCCACGCCTGCTCTGCCCTGGACGACCGGCGCGGATAGGGGGACCACCCCGTGCGCACCCCTCCCGCACTCCATGTGTCGAGAAAATGCCAGCCTGCCGCGGGCTGGCTAAGACCGGCGCGGACTAGGGGGACAACCCCCTGCGAAACCCCCTATGGTGTCGAGAGGGAAATGCCACGCCTGCGGAAGCCGCCTGGACACGACGGCGGGAAATAGGGGGACCACCCATGCGCACCCACTATGGCGTTCGAGAAACTGCCCACGCTGCTACGGCCTTCTTGGACACCGGCGCGGATTAGGGGGACCAACCCCGCGCACCCCCTATGGTCGAGAAAGTGCCGTCGTATGGGCCTGGCTACCGGCCTGGCGTCTGGACGACCGGCGCGGATAGGGGGACCACCCCGTGCGCACCCCCTATGGTATCGAGAAAGTGCCACGCCTGCTACGGCCTGGACGACAGGCGCGGATAGGGGGACCACCCCCTGCGCACCCCCTATGGTGTCGAGAAAGTGCCACGCCTGCTACGGCCTGGACGACCGGCGCGGATAGGGGGACCACCCCCTGCGCACCCCCTATGGTGTCGAGAAACTGCCACGCCTGCTACGGCCTGGACGACCAGCGCGGATAGGGGGACCACCCCCTGCGCACCCACTACGGCGTCGAGAAACTGCCACGCCTGCTACGGCCTGGACGACCGGCGCGGATAGGGGGACCACCCCTGCGCACCCCCTAAGTGTCGAGAAACTGCCACGCCTGCTACGGCCTGGGAAGAACCGCCGCGGATAGGGGGACCACCCCCTGCGCACCCTATGGTGTCCGAGAAAGGCCACGCCTGCTACGGCCTGGACGACCGGCGCGGATAGGGGGACCACCCCGTGCGCACCCCCTATGGTATCGAGAAAGTGCCACGCCTGCTACGGCCTGGACGACAGGCGCGGATAGGGGGACCACCCCCTGCGCACCCCCTATGGTGTCGAGAAAGTGCCACGCCTGCTACGGCCTGGACGACCGGCGCGGATAGGGGGACCACCCCCTGCGCACCCCCTATGGTAACGAGGAAAGTGCCACGCCGCTACGGCCTGGACGGACCGCCGAGGATCTGAGGGACACCACCCTGTGCGCACCCCCTATGGTGTCGAGAAAAGTGCCACGCATGACTACGGCCTGGACGACCGGCGCGGAGAGGGGGACCACCCTGTGCGCACCCCCCTATTGTGTCCGAGAAACTGCCAACGCCTGCTTGCGGCCTGGACGACCGGCTGCGGATAGGGGGACCCAGTGCGCACCCCTATGGTGTCGAAAAAACTGCCACGCCTGCTACTGCCTGGACGACGGGGCGGATCGGGGGGGAACACCCCGTGCGCACCCCCTATGTGCGAGAAAGTGCCACGCCTGCTCTGCCCTGGACGACCGGCGCGGATAGGGGGACCACCCCGTGCGCACCCCTTATGGTATCGAGAAACTGCCACGCCTGCTACGGCCTGGACGACCGGCGCGGATAGGGGGACCACCCCCTGCGCACCCCCTACGGCGTCGAGAAACTGCCACGCCTGCTACGGCCTGGACGACCGGCGCGGATAGGGGGACCAACCCGTGCGCACCCCTTATGGTGTCGAGAAAGTGCCACGCCTGCTACGGCCTGGACGACCGGCGCGGATAGGGGGACCACCCCGCCTGCTACGGCCTGGACGACCGGCGCGGATAGGGGGACCACCCCCTGCGCACCCCGTATGGTGTCGAGAAGCTGCCACGCCTGCTACGGCCTGGACGACCGGCGCGGATAGGGGGACCACCCCGTGCGCACCCACTATGGCGTCGAGAAACTGCCACGCCTGCTACGGCCTGGACGACCGGCGCGGATAGGGGGACCACCCCCTGCGCACCCCCTATGGTGTCGAGAAACTGCCACGCCTGCTGCGGCCTGGACGACCGGCGCGGATAGGGGGACCACCCCGTGCGCACCCACTATGGCGTCGAGAAACTGCCACGCCTGCTACGGCCTGGACGACCGGCGCGGATAGGGGGACCACCCCCTGCGCACCCCCTATGGTATCGAGAAAGTGCCACGCCTGCTACGGCCTGGACGACCGAGCTGAGCTGTGCTGTGCTGAGCTGAGCTGAGCTGTGCTGAGCAGTGCTGAGCAGTGCTGTGCTGTGCTGTGCTGTGCTGTGCTGTACTGTGCTGTGCTGTGCTGTGCTGAGCTGTGCTGTGCCTAGCTGAGCTGAGCTGTGCTGAGCTATGCTGAACAGTGCTGTGCTGTGCTGTGCTGAGCTGAGCTGAGCTGTGCTGAGCTGAGCTGAGCTGTGCTGTGCTGTGATGTGCTGTGCTGTACGAAGAGTGAGGTGTGTGTCGCGGGTGCGGCGCGGCAGGGAAGAACACCAGAACCCCACTAAGCATGTGGGGAATAACGCGTATTTCCCAAACCCTCGATACCCGCCCTCTTCGTCTTCGATCGAACCCCTTTTTGGGGGGATACCTTTCTTCCCTGCGGGCTGGGCCCTGGCAAGCGGCGGGGCGGCCGAGGACCGTCGGCCTGGCCAGCGGCAGCGCTGATCGGCGGGGCGGCCGCGGACCGTCGACCCGACCCCAAGAGGGACGGACAGGGAACCGACCACGACGACGACGACGACGACGACGACGACGACGACGACGACGACGTCGAAGACGACGGCGACGACGACGACGGCGACGACGAGCGAAAGCGAGAGCGAGAGAGAACGACAGCAGGGCCACGACGGGCACGAAGTAGGCCACGAAGGGCGACAGCGGGGACACGAATGGAATGCGTATGGGCCACGAAGAGAGCGAACGAGCGGGGGCCACGAAGTGCTGATAATGCGGGGGCACAGAAGGCAACTATGGGGCCACTGAGGGTAGCAACTGGGCCACGTAGGACAGTGAGGGGGACACAAATGGCGACAGCGGGGCCACGAAGGGCATGCACATGGGGCCACAACGGGCGCGACTCCCGGGTGCCTGGGTGTCGGGAGCGCGGCGCTTGGGTAAATTGCAAGAAATTCCAACGCAAGGCCATTCTTTAGTAAGTTGCAAGCAAGTCTCCAGCGAGAGCGCGACTCCAGAGCGCTGGGAGAACGATTACTGAATAATTTGCAAGGAAGTCCCAAGCGAGAGCGCGATTCCTGAATGAAATGCGAGGAAGTCTCTGGCGGGAGCGGGGGTCCTGGCTAAATTGTAAGGAAGTCTCAGGCGGGAGCCGTTGTTGTTGTAACCCGGGGGCCAGGGGGCGAGTTTGAGCAGGAAGACTTTCTTTGTCAAAAAACAAAGTGCGAGCGTCGAGGGGCACACTTCGATTGAGAAAAAACAGTATGCACCGGCGGGGGGGATCAACAATAATTATTCTTCAAGAGTGAGAACTCAACAACAACAACAATAACAACAACAACAACAACAACAACAACCACAACCACAACCACAACCACAACCACAACCACAACCACAACCACAACCACAACCACAACAACACCAACAGCAACAACAACAGCAACAAACACAGCACCAACAACAAACACAACAACAACAACAGCAGCAGCAACAGCAAAAACAACAACAACACCAACAGCAACAGCAACAACAACAACAACATCAACAACAACAACACCAACAACAACGACAACAACAACAACAACAACAACAACAACAATTACTAGCACGTGGGGACACTCCGTTCTCACCAGTGCCAGGGTTTTCATAGGAGGCGGGCAATACCCCCACTTTGTGGGGGGGCCGGTTCAAGCTCTACCAAATTTCCAAACGACTCTTCGCCACCACCCACACCCAGCTTCCCGCCCTATGACGTTCGGACACTTCACTTCGTGGCATGCGGACGACCGTGGCTACTATTCAGGGCCCCGCGGCCGACGACGACGGCGTGCGCGCGCGAAGAAAAAACGAATGTGTCCCGCATGGTATTATTTGACAGGGATGATGGCCCTGGCAGGTGCGCAACCGTTGTTGCAGAAGTTCGAAAAAGTTGCTCGCAAAAGCCCGTTTGACAGAAATGTTTAAAAAGTGTTGGGTTTCCTACGAATCCGCAAGAGCGCGCGGGATGAGATTTTGACATTTTTGTGTTGAAAAACCATTGGTTTTTTGATGTTTTTATGTTAAAATCGTTCCGAACACTAAGCTTTGGGAAGGATTTCGTCTTGCGCGCGCGAATGTCCACTTTACCTTATTTTTTGCAAGGGATTCTTGAAGTTTGGTTATGTTAGAACAAGAAATGTCCACTTTAGCTTATTTTTTTGCAAGGGAAAACCGATCGTAACAACACAACCGGATCCGGACCAACCCGTTTTGCCTGAGACTTCCTCACGAAAATGATGAAAACGTGGCTGCGGCCTAGGCGCGGCGGGGGGGTCGTGCACCAGGGGTCCCAACAATAATTATTCTTTAGAAGTAATAATGTTCAACAACAACAACAACAACAATAACAACAGCAACAAAGACAACGACGACGACGACGCCGCCAACGACGGACGACGACGACGACGACGCCGCCGCCGCCGCTGCCATCGCAAGAGGGCGCGCGGAGCCGTCACGGCCTCGCGAGCCTCTCGCTCCCTTCGCTCGCTCCTCGCGGGCGCGCCAGGGGGCTGAAAGGAGGGGGGGGAGGAGCGGGGGAAATGGGATGGAGGGAAGGGAGGGGAGAAGAGTGGGGGGGCGGGGGAGGGAGGGCGGGAGGGGGAAGGGGGATGGGGGTGGATGCGGAGGGGAGGGATGAGGGAGGGGGAGGGGAGGAGGGGAGGGAGAGAGAGAGGAGGGAGGGGAGGAGGAGCGGGGGGACGGGGGAGGGAGGGAGGGGGGGGGGAGGGGGAGGGAGGGAGGGGGGGGGAGGGAGGGAGGCAAGGGAGGCAAGCTATGTGCGCTCGCGTCATATCTGACGTCCTACCCTTCCCTCCCATCCCTTACCATGGAGTAGATCTCCTTTATATTCGCAAAATCGGATGTCGCAACATGTCATAACATTACATGGCATAGCAGCTATGGCATAGCATGGTGTTGAAGATCAACGCGTAACATGCCATAGCATGGCGTGGCGACGCCCGAACGTGGGGGGGGCTTCTGCGGCCCAAAAAATCCGAGTGGTCTCCCAGGAGATCCCCACAAGCATCCCAGGGGCCTCTGGCCTGCAACCCAAGCACGGTGGCGGGATGGGCCGAAGGCCACTACTTCCGCCGCCCCTGTTGGCTTGCCAAAGGGGTGCCGGGCGTGCTAAATCCTACCGCTCTTGGTTTTGGTTCTTTTTCCAACAGAACTCTCCCTGGAGCTTCGGCCCGTCCCGCCGGCCCTGCGGAAGACCCAGAAACGACATCAAAGTCCCCAACAGATCCCCCAAGACGGCTCAAGATGACCTCCAAGATGGCCACGTTGGCCTCCAAGATGCCTCCAAGACGGCCAAGATGGACTCCAAGACGGCTAAGACGGCCCCAGGATGCATCCAAGACGGCCCATGATGCACCCAAGACGGCCCAAGATAGCCTCAGGATGGCCAAAGACGGTCCAAGAGGCTTCCAAGATGTCCTCCTCCTCCTCCTCCTCCTCCTCCTCCTCCTCCTCCTCCTCCTCCTCCCCCTCCCCCTCCCCCTCCCCCTCCCCCTGTCATCCTCATCCTCATCCTCCTTCTAATCATCATCATCCTCCTCCTCCCTCTCCTGATCCTCCTCTTCTTGCTCCCCCACGCGTTTCCCGAAGGTTTTCCAAACCGACTCGGGGAACAACTGGCCCGATAGCCTGGCCAAGCTCTAGCCCAGCTGTCGGCCACATAGGCGCGTTCAGAGGGCAGGGGGCGGCGGTGCTTCGCCGTAGGCGCCTTCGATAGCATTACTCCGCGTATAGCCCACCTCCACAGAGCAATAGCTCACTGTTTGGGACCCGCTCTGGCGAACGTGCTAAACTTTACAAACCGATCCATTTTGAAAACAACCAGCGGTGTTGTGTGACATTGGACACATGCGGTACGGCATGCTACAAGAATCGCGTTCGATCCGAGAGCCTTGTACAGCAAATCCGATTGCTAACCAGCGCAGCATGGAAGCCATTGCAAACTCCCCAGAAAGCTGTACAAGCACAAGGGCGCACTACTTCGATTTTGCATTCCGATGCTTACCTTCACATGTGTTCCTCGCAGTTGTATGATCCCTTTTTCACTGGCCCAACCTCCACGCCTGAAAGGGGACGCGCTGAAACTCCTGACGAGCCAATGCGAACGCCATCGTTGACATCCTAGATTCACGGTGCACCCGCAAATAAGGGACCCGACTGCAAGAAGGAAACCTCATGTATCGCATTGCGAAGAGCGCAAACCATTACAGTCGGGGCCTTGACCTAAGGAGCCCTAAATAAAGAACAGGGCCCCTTTCTCCCATACGTTGAACTTCGATTTCCCCTGGAAAACCTCCGGAAAACTGAAGGCAAACTGCAGAACAGTCCAGGAACGCCGAGCCCCTCTCCAACGAAAAGGGTTCCTTCTTCAGGGCCCCGACCGTACGGCAGACCGCTGCGCACCCTCGCAGCCGAACCTGCGTGGCGTGAAGTGCATATGGCGCGTGGCCTTCGGGCTCCCTGCGCCGCGTGACGGGCGATGCTCCCCGAGACCCCAGGCCACCAACGTTCTCGGCGCCCTCTCGCGGCTGTTCGCGTGTCCTCTCCGGGCGCCCCGCGAGCGCGAGGCTGGGGGCGCGTGCTCACCATGTTTACCAGCCTCGAACCTACACCCTGCGAAATGCTTAAGAAATCATGGGTTAAGAAATTCATGATCTCAGAACTTGAACAAAAACCAAAAAATTCCATTAAAATCTTAGGAGTTACATTGGAACATTAAGAATAATCGAGACTCTGGCCGAAATTTTAAGTTTTCTTAAGCATCGCCTAAGGTGTATCCCTATCCCCGAGACTGACGCGCCAAGAGGCGACGACAGTCTCAGGGCGGCGCCCTCAAGCAGTGAGGGCATCCCCAAGCTTGGCGTCGTGACGAGGCGATGCCCAGCACTGGGGAGCGGAAAGATACGGATACGTGCTGTCCCCGGACCTCTCTTGGGGCGCGTTCTGACCAGAATTTCGAAGCGAATCCAGCGGTGACAGCGAGGACTCCCCAGGAGGACCAGGAAAGGCCGAAAACGAAGGGGGACAACACGTACGGCAGGTTCGTGTCGTGCCGACCCCGGCGTTGGTTTTTGACACCGCAGGGATCGTTCAACCTTGAACGATCGGCCGTTTCCGCAACGTCCAATCGTTCCACATCGAACGATTCTGGGTCGCCCGCGGCGTTCAACGTTGAACGTCGGCGGCGGGGTTTCCGCCGGTCGACACGACGCGAACCTACCGTATCCGTATCTTTTTCTCCCCCGACAGCACAGGGATAGGGACATGCTCCAGGCTGGTGGCCCGCGGCGCGGCTCCCGGGGAGCCTCTCGCGACGAGGCGCGCCGGATGGTCGGGAAGAGCGGAGGCCCCGAGATCCGAGGATCTGATCCTTCAATCTCAACGGGCGAAGAACGGTATAAAATCAACTTTTTCGTCGTCGTCGTCGTCGTCGTGGTCGTTGTCGTCGTCGCTCTCGTCGTCGTCGTCGACGTATTCGTTTTCGTCGTCGTTTTCGTCTTCCTCGTCGTCGTTCATTTCCACAGGCACCCGGAGCGCCCCGGATCGGCGGCACTGGCCGGAGGCCACTACAATAAACTTTTTCGCCGTCGGGGACACCTGTCCCAGGGCGGCTGGAAAGTTTCTACCCTTACGGTGGCACCGTAGGGGTATAAACTTTCCAGCCGCCCAGGGGAGGTGTCCCCGACGGCGGAAAGTTTATCTTCTGCCGTTCTTCGCCCATTAACAGACCCCCGACGTCGTGATTTTTTCACAACGTCGACCCCCAGAGGTCTGGACCCCTCCCCCGGGACCGGTTCTTCGTCCCGAGTCGTTTTTTGACGCCCCCGAGGCCCGGCGAGGGCCCCCGGGGGCCGAAAATAGCGAAAAACCTCCCGCCGTGATTTTTGTTCACGACGCCAGGAGGTCTGGGCCTACCGTTCCTCGCTCGCCAAAACAGTCTGGCGGCTCTTCTTGGGCTTCGGCCTCCGCGGGGCCCGTCAGCGGGCCCGGGGGGTTCTCTCAGCAATGGATCCGGGACGAAGCAGCCACCCGTGGGGAATGACTACCTACCAAACCACCCCAACCCAACCCGAAGACCTGAATTTGCCTCGAATTTCGGGTTGGGGGGGGGGTACGGGTCCCATGTGTTTTTTCGACGTTCCCCGACCTCCCCCCACTGGAAATGAAGGGCAAATTGAGGCCTTCGGGTTGGGTTGGGGTGGTCTGGTAGGTGGTGAGGGAAGGGGTCTGGACCTCTGGGGCCGCGGACGGGAAGAGTCATGATCGGCGGATGTCTGGGAGGAGAGGGTGGTGCAGGGGAGGAGTGGAAGAAGGGGGGAAGTGGCGGAAGAGGAGGAGGCGGAGGCGGAGGAGGCGGAGGAGGAGGAGGAGGAGGAGGAGGAAGAGAAGGGGGGAGGTGGCGGAAGAGGAGGAGGAGGCGGAGCAGGAGGAAGGAAGGAGCTTCCCTCTCTGCAACGACGGAGAAGCCTTGGATCGGCCGGTCCCGAAACGTCAGATCGTTCAACATCGACCGATCCTGGGTCGCCGACGGTCGACACGACGCGAACGTGCCGTAAGGGGGGGGGGGGCTGAGCATCGTATATACTATGATTATATCATATACATCTAAAACGCAGGCAAACGCAGACAAACGCAGACATTACAGACCAACGCAGACAAACGCAGACATTACAGACGCGAAAACGGCATCCGCACCATCTCGATGGATGGCGTGGATGATGGAGAGCCAGGGTCCCTCTCCCCACGGGCGGCGTGGCCTGGGCCCCACTGGCCGGTTCACCCGCCCCGGAGGTGGGGATACAGGCCTGTTCCCTTCAGGCCTCGAGGGGCACGTCTCAACCGGGGCGGCGGGATGGTGGGGATGGGCGGGCACGTCCTCCTCCTCCTCCTCCTCCTCCTCCTCCTCCTCCTCCTCCTCCTCGGGGATAGTGGGGAGACCAAAAGGTACCGATACCGCTACTCCCCAGACCTCTCCCGTGGTGCGTTCTGACCAGGGTTTCGAGGCGAATCCAGCGGCGGCGACGAGGGCCTCCCAGGAGGCCCGACAAGGGGGAAGCGGGCGGAGGGTAGAGCTATATGGGTACCCTTTCCTCCTCCTGAGGGGACAGGGCTCGGTGAAACGATGCCGAGGGGCGGGGGCGGTGTCCTCGCCAGCTGCTCGGTGAGCCCCTGCAGCTGCGCGGAGCTGCCTGCGGCTGCTGCGGCGCGGGCGCGGCAGCTGCGCGCGCGGCACCCGAGGCGCCCCGCAGAGCCCCAGCGGCTGGGCCCAGCTGGAAGCCCGGCACGCCCAGCCACCTGCCCTCGGTTGACCCGTCGTCAAAGATGGTGCGAAGGCGAAAATCACAGACAGACAGACAGACAGACAGACAGACAGACAGACAGACAGACAGACAGACAGACAGACAGACAGACGCCATGCACAACATAGGTGCGTTGGCAGAAGATGTGAGACATACTAGACAATTGGGTGAAACGGCAAGCGTGCTAAGCATAGGAGGAGGAGGAGGAGGAGGAGGAGGAGGAGGAGGAGGAGGAGGAGGAGGAGGAGGAGGAGGAGGAGGAGGAGGGAGGAGGAGGAGGAGGAGGAGGGGACAGGGGATACGGTAAACAGATACGTCTCGCGGAAGGAATGGGGGCCACTCTTGCTTCTCGGGGGCCCTCGCGGGGCAAATTGCACGGGTTGAGAGACGTCTTCGAAGCCTCTGGGGCCGCTGGAGACGCCCCGTGATCCGTCACAGCCGTAATGCTCTGCTCGCGTCGTAAAAAAACAAGACGGATGTGTGTTCTTCGCTTTGGGAACTCAGGGGCCCTCGCCAAGCCCCGGTACCGTCGAGAAAACGACTCAGGATGAAAGACTTGTCCCTGGGGAAGGCGTCGGGACTTCTGGGGACCGCGTATGAAAAAAACAAGTGGCACGCGTGCCCTGGCTCTTGCACTAAGGAGCCGCGAGAGACAGGAGGCTTTCGCCTCCTTCCTCCAGGAGTTTATTTTTGTGGCCGCCGGGGGGAGGACGAACGACGAACGAACGACGACGACGAGCGAAAATAAAAAGGTCCGAGCTCTAGAACACAGCTGCGCAAGATAACAAAGGGTCCAGGGCGAGGGGGGCTGGGGCCAGGGCCGGGGGGGGGGGGCTGGGTCCAGGGCCAGGGCCAGCGGGGCAAGGGGGGCGGGGGGCCAGGGCCAGGGGAGGAGGCAGGGTCCAGGGCCAGGACCAGAGGGACGACGACAAACGAAAATAAAGGGTCCAGGGCGAGGGGAACTGGGGACAGGGCCGGCGGGGGGGGGGCTGGGCCCAGGCCCTGGGCCAGCGGGGCAAGGGGAGCTGGGGCCAGGACCAGGGGGGGAGGTTGGGTCCAGGGTCAGGACCGGACCAGGGACCCAGCGGGGCGAGGGGGGCTCCACGGGGCCAGGACCAGGTGGGGAGGTTGGGTCCAGGGCCAGAGTCGGACCAGGGACGACGAACGAAAACAAAGGGTCCAGCCAGGGTGGGAGTTGGGTCCAGGGCCAGGGCCGGACCAGCTGCCAGGGACGACGACGAGCGAAAATAAAGGGTTGCCAGGGCGAGGTGGGCTGGGGCCAGGGCCGGGGGGGAGGCTGGGTCCAGGGCCAGGGTCAGCGGGGCGACGGGGGCTGGGGCCAGGGCCAGGTGGGGAGGTTGGTCCAGGGCCGGGACCAGAGGGACAACGACAAACGAAAATAAAGGGTCCAGGGCGAGGGGGACTGGGGCGGCGGGGGGGAGGCTGGGCCCAGGCCCTGGGCCAGCGGGGCGAGGGGAGCTGGGGCCAGGACCAGGGGGGAGGTTGGGTCCAGGGCCAGGACCGGACCAGGGACGACGACGAGCGAAAATAAAGGGTCCAGGGCGAGGGGGACTGGGGCCAGGGCCGGGTGGGGGGGAGGCTGGGTCCAGGGCCAGGGCCAGCGGGGCGAGGGGGGCCGAGGCCAGGACGGGGTGGGGAGGTCGGGTCCAGGGTCGGGACCGGGCCAGGGGCCGGGGACGACGACGAACGAACGAAAATAAAGAGGCCCGAGCTCTAGAGCACAGCTGTGCAAGAGAATAAAGTGGTCGGGGCGAAGGGGGCGGCGCGCTGGGCTGCTGGGGAGAAGGGGGTGG